AAAATACGCTTTTACTTCCTGTAATAATTGGGGTACTACGTATGCTAAGGCAAGAATTTTTTTAATTAGCCCAATGAAAATACAAGGATTAGATCTTTGAGACATGAAGTAAGGAGTTATTGTTTGTAACTTTCACGACACTGACAGACATCACCACCAGTGCCAGTACGGAGGCTAGCATAACACAGTAAAATACAAGGGTGTCACGGTGGGCGTGCAAGTGCACCACTTGCCTTGTGGGTTAAGGGTGGACTCTATTCATTCGTTTATTTACTTATGGACTGAGGTCGTTTTACAGTGCTTACAAATACTCGTGTGTGTGTGTGTGTGTGTGTGTGATATTGATGGGCTTCGTAACTGGAGGGGAGATGTCGCCTCACCTCTGTCTAATTGTGGTGGGCACTGTGATCGCGCATGACGATTGCGCATCCATCGTCGGTAAGGCGTCTTCTTAGACCTTACTCTGACCTCCACACGTCGGTTGAGGGCATTAGCAAGACGGGTGAAATGTAAGATGGATAGGTGGGAAGCCTTAGTGGTAGGAGGTCGCATAGCCTGATCCTCTTTCTGAGTGGGTACTTTGATTCATCAGGAGCTAAGGTGAGATGTGCGGACTTCTCCTCGCAGCATTACTCCTCTTGTGCATTCAGAAGCCTTCTTGTTATGCGAACGTACCTTGAGGCTTGAAAATCTGATACGTATTTATATGCATTTGTTGACTGTGGCTGATGGGCCTTCGTCACTCGCACAGCGGTACTGACAGCTCAATGCCCTATTCTGTGTGTAGGCAGTAGATTTCTGCAGAATGTGCAGTTCAAAGGAATCAACTCAACGTTGATGAAACTGACGTGGAGTCCACTGCCCACACCACCCAAGGAGATTACTGACTACACTGTGAGTTGGTCGCTGGGCGGAGCCATACAGGAGGACATTGATACGACTACCGACACTTCAGGCCACGTCTGTGCAGGTTTGGAGCCAGGGTAGACCGTCACTGCTAAGGCGAAAACACGCTGTCGAGATAGAAGCTCGGTGCTACTTGACTACACTAGTGTCTATAGCGAGGATATGAGCGCAACGGCACTGTGTGAATGAAGGTGGGTCCTCTCTTTATCCACTTTATTAGAACATGGCATATTGTATGCATTGAACCAGACCTCAGTCGAGGTCAGCACGTAGCAGCACCTGTTTGGCGTTACTGAGGTAGATCCGCCTCTTTCCATTTGCAGGGAGTAGGGGGAATAAGGTAGTGGTAGCGAATAACGTCGTTTTGATTGGCCCATCATTACAGGGTTGGCAAGTGGTTGAGTTGTGGATGCTGAGGAGGAGAGCGAAGGGAAGGTATTTTGGTTTTGGATAGAGGAGGAAGAGAAGGCTGTTTTGAATGTTGAAATTAGTACAACTGCTTTGGTTTTTTAGTACAGTCCACAGTCAGTCTATCCTGCCTTTACTCCGTGAAACATTGCAACGACGTCCGCAGTGGCCGCAACAACAAAGCAAGCAGATCTGGATCCTATGATGAATGCAACTGTCAAGTCTAACTCCACCACTGTGTCCTCTTCAGCACAAACCACTTCCACTGCTCCCGTCCAGTCGTCAACCTCCTTGTAAGTCTTGACAACTCAACATGTTTTTTTATCATCCACTATGCTGTAACCGAAAATTCATTGATGAGAATGGTCTTTTCCCCATCACTCCCAGAAGCTCCACGATGGCAACTCCAGCTGCTGCAACGACGAAGAAAGTAAGGTTGGATCCTGG